GTGTTTTCAGAACGCAGTGGCAATGACGCTGACCTGACTGAGGAGACCGACAATGACGACAGCGATGACAGCGACAACAGTGATGAAAGCAATGAGGAAATTTGGGAAAGAAGACAAGCTTCTTCCTCCCGAACATTATGAGGCTGGGGAGGCCAACCTTGACATGAAACGCCTACAGCTGTGTCATTAATACAAATAGACAATCAGTGGGATGGACAGAGTCCATGACCACTGGCACCAGTGAGTGTGATCCCAAGTGTGCACCAGGCAAACTCACTAACTGTGGAGGATCTCAGGTACTGCAAATATATGAAGAGAGATTTGTTCAATGCCTACCAGGCACCCTTGATCCAGTCCCTTAAAGGGTTCCTCAGCTGGGCTTGTGATCATGTCGCGGCAAAGGAGGAAGAAGGTGAATGGGGATCCCAGCTGTCAGCTCTTTGATAACGTTCTGGAAACGGTATTCTCAGGTCTATAAGCAAGACACCAGCACACCATTGACCCTCTGATCATGGCACAATCACAGGATGTGAGTACTAAATCTTCAACCACATTCTGTATTCCTCATTTTGAGTATCTCCATCTAAACTGTCGCGGTAGGTGATTGAGCTCATCACTGATGAGAAGAAATTCAGCTGTGAACTGAGGACGCCAGGGACCATGTACGTTGATGAACTTGCAAAGTATGATCATATGCTTCTGACCACAAATGAGATGGAGTTTCAGGTTGATTGGGCGCGCACTCAGCTGATTCTCTCCTCCCAGCTCGCGGCTGTCATGGGCAACTGACTGGATGCCTTGACCCAGCTTCACTATCGCGATCCAGTGCTCACACTGGTCTTGGACCCTCATTCCAGTACATCACATCTGTGTGAGGCTCACCACCCACTTCACCAAGATCTTCTTGGGCATGAATGATGTGTAGGTTTTACCTCATGCTTCATGAATGCTTTGTTGCCTCATTATCCAACTAACTGTGCACTCAGTTACACTTTTTGACTTCTGGAGATTATCTACAACCTTACTCTGATACTCAGTCCACATGTATTTCTTCTGGTGATACTGTTTCACATCAAGGTGTTCAAGTCATCAAGTCTCAAAGCCTCTGAGAAGCTGTACAGCCTGGGCATTCTGGACAGGCTCAACTAGCAGGAACTGCCACTGTGAGATGATCTGTTGGACAAGTTCATCTTCTGCATCATGATCTGCGAAGGAGATGGCATCTGAATCACACATGAGAGGTGGCTGACCACATTGTCACTGCGAAATCACATGAAAAATGGCAGTGAGATCACAGGCTTTGATCAGGCCATGAAGCCGTATGTCCCTCTGTGATGAAGCCGTGAAGGCTTTTAATGAGAGTCATGAGTATTCATCTGTCCTTCCCTTTCTGCTGATTGCTCTCATTCTTAGCCCTCTTACTGCTTCTGGAGTGAGTGTGTGCTAATGTTAGCATTGTCGGACAGTGGATGTGAGCAATTTTCTTCAGAATCTGATGCTTCAGCATGCCAGTATCAATACATTTCTCAAACACTCTCTGGATCGGAGCATCACTGCTGATATCCTCAGCATCTACTGTGGTCTCAAGCTGCAGAAGATGCTGATGAGAATGATGTGCTCAATGAGCTGGTTCATCAACTCCTGCTGACTCTGAGAACTGACACTGAAGAAGTTGAGATCAGTGAACCATCTGTCTCACATTCTGAGGATCTTTCAGAGAGTTGAACATCTGAAGAAATGCTGTGACTCTGCTGCAAGCTGGCTCCGTGGCAGAAGCAGACAGAGGTACCGGCGAATGGCTGAGAAAGACAAGTGGTGGGAGAAGTGGTGGGAGAAGTGATACAGAGACCAGGTTGAGAAACATGAGAGATGAGATGAGAGGCATCACAAAGCTGTTCACTAGCTCTGCAGTGAGAAGTAACGCGCGAGGACTCTGCTCAAGTGTGAGATTCTGAAATGACATCAACAGGAACAGCTGGTGATCAGCAGTGAGCAACAGCTCTTCAGAAGGGTGGTTGATGAGAATGTGAGAAGTGAACTGGAGCAGTACATGGCGCCTGAGCTGATGATAATGATTGATGTGGTCCTGATGCTGCTGTCAACAGAGGTGGAACTGCAATGATAGATCAGAGCCATTCACGCAGTCTGTGCATATTGCCCTGTTGAGAAGGGTCCTCTCTGCTGTCAGTGTGGCTGTGTTTTCTCCCCCAAGTCAACCACGTCAAAACTGACAGACTTCAGGCAGAAGTGATTGGCCAGCCATCATCAAACAGGCTCCTCGGCTCGGCCGCTCGAGTGGTTTGGACGGAACCACGACTCAAAATGTGCTTTATCTGTTTGCAGAACATCAAGCTCATGCTGGCAGACTGAGTCTATTTGTTCCATGAATCAGAAAATCTGACTAAATATTTCTAGAGGTGGCATCTGGATTTAAGTTCCGGCCGATGGATTGCAATATGTGCAATGAGAGGCTGGCGACACTGAAGGGTCTTCTGGTCCATGCGGAATGCGCACACGGCACCATTACCCGTTCACCCAAGTACAGCATGATCACACAAACTGTGCCACACGCGTCAACAGGGGAGGCCATTAACAGTTGACTGCCGCCGACCTCCCAGCAATCATGGTCTTCACGCGGAACCACCGCGAGGAGTCCAGCTATCGGGCCTGGAACATCCGAGTAATCTCACAGATCATCCACAATCCTTCACCTCCTTATCTGCCTTTCCGTTTCCCTTTTGCGTTCGATAAAGGATAAACTACTGAAAAGCTGCCATCACAGTTTTTGGTACTCCAGCGCTTTGATCTTTTAACAATCTTTCGGACCCTTCAATCACGTGACTGTTTTCCACCATATATAGTCGTTCCCGTAGCTAGCAACCTTTGCAATCAACCAAGCTTGCCATTCTGTTAGGTTATGAGACCCGTTTTTGCTCCCAAACGCTGCCAATTCGGGAGTTATCTTGTCGAAATCAGCGACTGCTTTCTTCATCTGATCTCTATCTTATTTATCTTTTATATATTAAGAGACCTACGCTCCCTATTTGGCGGAGTCCTTGACGCGTTCCTCAATCTTTCGGGACACGCGAAGAAGACGAAAGGATATCACCCTAAAGAAGCGAATTTCGATGAGATTCCTCTCTAGAATAGAGAAGTCTTCTTAGAAGCCCTTTTTTATCTATATTTTGATCCTTTGATCAATCAAATCAACAAGGATGGCTGATCCAGTGAGATCACCTCTATTACGCGTTCGCGATCCCGAGTACGAATAAATTCAGACGTATCAGTTACCTCAAATCAAACCCCCACCTCCCGAGAGCCTATCTGATCCTTTGAGGACTTAACTGTCCATAATACCCCTGGGATCTCAGATCTCAATCTCCCTACAGCTCCTGCATCTGTTAGGCCTCCTCGATCCCACCTTGCCCCCAATACCCCGGCTGGGCAGAGACCTGATGATGGTCCTAGTCACCATTCTCTTAGCAGAATGCAGCTGGAACTGGAAAATAATAGAGAGAAATGTAAAGCTCTGGAACTAGAGCTTCAGTTAGAAAAACTTCAAGCAGCCTGGGCTGCTAATAACTACAACAACATTGCCACTGCCAATTCTCCTGTGAGCCGTGATACAGCCTGGAATCCTCAGATTGGCAGCAAACTCCAGTATAATCTCTACGACCCTGATAACCGTGTTGGCAAGGCAATTAGCCAGTTCAAAGAAGATATCAAGAACATTCACAAGTCAAGTGCCTTAAACTGGCACTCTCAACTATGTGACTTGGAGATCTTTGATAAAATCAAGGCTAGTAGCTGCCCAATGCTGGATCATAATTGAGGAAGAGCAAACATGTGATCCCATGAGGATTCTGAATTGGCTCCCTTTTGGGAAGCGAAGAACTGATGATTATACATCTTTATATCCAACTCCTTGAGCTCCTCAGTTGAAGCTCACCTTCTAAAGAATGATGAGATTCGCATCACCTTCACCCTATGGTATGCAATTGAGGAGGAATACTTAGTACCAAGGACTCAACTTCACAGGAAGGATATATGACCTCTACAGCTCTTGCAAATGAGAAGATGGACGATATACACTCCTACTTCAATAAATTTCACGCAGCTCTCATCAAGTTAGAGATGCTGAAGATGTCCTCACCTGAGAATCTGATATTGGATATCTTTTACTCAGATCTATCAACAACATGGCGCAATTATGTCCAGAAGAATGTTGAAGAGGCTCAGATCTCAAAATATACTGCTGTTGTATTGAATGTCATCTCAATTATGAAGGAAATTCACTCTTAGATTGACCCTCTCAAAGATAAGAATACATCTGCTACTACACAGGTCAATGCAGCTGATCCTTCAACCTCAATATCTCACACAGGATTCTGTTCTCAAATGCAGTCTAGGCATCACCATCTCTGTGATTCTGAGGCTTCACCTACTTATTTTGAGGACAAATACCTTACCGTGAAATCTGCTCGCTTGCTCACTCTGACAAGACTTCTAAGCATTGGCAGAAGGACAATGCTGATAAAATAAAGAAATTCAACAAGAACAAGAGCAAGAGCAAGGCAAAGGACAACAACGGGGATAAAGCAGACATCGAGTCCTCAATAATCAGTGATGACTCTTTTCACACAGTGAACCTTGCAGAGATTATTATCATTTCAGCATGCTTTGTTGGGCGATGCAATAATGACCTCATCATATGAGATAGTGATGCTGGCTGTCATATTGCTCATAACAGGTCAACAATGCAGGTCAAATCATTTGATATAAGACCCGCTGAGTGGTTTGTGGAAATTTCCAACAGAAAGATGTCAACTTCTCTAGAACATATGTCTCTGTAGTATCAGTCACCACCTCCAGAGCTCTAATGACTATGTCAACATCTTGAGAATGACATATCTTGCAGATATATATGATTACTGCATTCTTGAATTCTCAGCTGCCACAGAATGAGTATGTATATATGTGTCAGCCTGCAGGTTGAGGAGAAGGTTGAGGAGACTTAGTCTGTGAGTTAATGCAAGAATTCTACAGTCAAACAAACAACCTTTCTATGATATGAGGAGCTGTGAAAAATGCAGTGTCAGCATGATGCTGAGCTCTTTATTCATGACTCACAAGAGGTTTATATTACAGTTTATGTAGATGATATTCACCTCTACAGATCATATATCAAAAGTTTGAACTGAACAAAATCCGAGATCACTGCCTGTTTTGAGATTAAAGATGTAGAAGACTCAAACTGCTTCTTGAATATGATAATAGAGCAGAAGTTCAACTCTCTTATCATATCTCAATCTCTATTTGTTCAGAATCTTTTGAAGAAGTTCTCTATGAAAGATTGTCATTCAACCTCTTCTCCAATGAAGTAGAATGTTGATTTTGGGGAGATGATGAAGAACCAGTGATATACACTAGGGAATTCACTCTACACGCCTATCAATCAGACATCAGACTTCTACAATATCTACCTGTCAATACATGCCCTGACATTAGCTTTGCTAGCGAATTCCTTTGAGTGTTTTAGCTCCCACTCAATTTCAAAGAACTGAGCAGCCTTAAAATGTGTCCTACATTACCTCTGAGGTACACCTGACATTGGTGTCACCTACTATAAGAGGCTCTGATATAGAACCTGCGGTCTATGCTCATGCTGATTGAGCAGACAGAGACCAAGGTTTCCATTTCACCACTGGTTATATCATCTACATGGCCGGTGGCCCTGTCTCCTGGAGGAGTTGTAAGCAGACTGATATCTCTAGATCCTCTACAGAAGCTGATGCTGGATTCCTACCCTCCCAGCTCAAAGAGTTGAACACTGTTGACAGGGCTATTCTACCCTCAGCTAACCCTCTCACCTCCCCTATTCACGCTGACAACAAGTCCGGAATAGAGCTCTTCTAGTGAAGCTATATCACTCCACTCCAAGCATGTGGAAGGTTCACTTTTACTCCCTCCGAGATCTTGTTCACAAGAATGAGATTGTTCTACACTACGTGTCATCTGCAGATAATGTGGCGGATGGTCTTACCAAGTCACTGGGAGCCACTAAGTTCGCTCACTAGAAGGAGATTGTAAAGCTGAGAAAATGAGTGCTTCCTTTAGTGCTCTCCACTTTTTCAACTGGTTTTACCACTGTCTTGTTTTACCAGTTGAACTTTGTACCCTTGCAAGGCAGTAAGCCTATTGTTGTATATGGTATTGAGTACTCTATGGTGAGAGGGGGTGTCAGAACCCTCAGTCACGCGACATATATTTCCACCATATATAGTTGTTCTCTTAGCTAGCAACCTTTGCAATCAACCAAGTTTGCCATTCTGTCACAATCATGATCATCTGCTGAGTTTCAGGGAGGGTTACAGAGATGATCCATTGATGGACTCCCCTGATAAGACCCAGAGTTCTCCCATACAAAAATGTACATCTTACCTAAGGTATAGATCTTCTGCTGTTAGGAGGGGCTGGGCAGTGTTATTTGGATAAATAACAAATCTTTTTGATTAACATGTCACCTCTAAATTTTTTTTTGTATACATGTCTTCTAGTTTGATTTTGGCAAATGGGGGAAGCATGAGCATTAAAAAAAATCAAAAGGAATAAAAACATTAACGCTGAGGGCATGACAGCAGTGAAGGAATTGTTGGGAGTGGGGGGAAGATCGAAGTGGCACAAAAGGCGCAGAGAAGTCCTGTAAGGCGATTAATTAGAGGTTCAGTCGAGAGGCTTCTGGACAGGGGCATTTCTCCTTTGAGCTCGCTTTTCCTTCACCATGTCAAGGGGTCCGTGTGATGTCGGCTCCTTTGCTTTGGCCTTTGCTCCAAGATAGATCAATTCAGGCCTCGATTGACAAGTATCATCAATTTGGGTGGTGCTTCTGCAAAAACAGGATTCTATGACACTATGCAGTCCTCAGCATATGTAGATTCTACAAGTCCAACTTGCCAGGTCATTCTCTAAGAAGGATTTAACATGGAGAATATTTAAGATGACAGACTTTAAATATCAGCCGGTGGCCTGTTCTTCCCCCTGAACTTCTTCTCATGCTCATTCTCCTGCTGCACCTCCAGTAACAGCACCAGCAGAGAAGGAACCACCTCATTGAACCCAATCAAGAATCTTGTTATGAATTTTATGGTTTACATTACTAGGGGGCTTAGCAAGCCTTGTGCAGCCTCTCAACCCCAGGCCCCTCTGCATGGCAAACTCATTTGAGATAACCTATAGATTTGGCTGGCCATATCTATAATACTTCTCAGCAACTAGGTAATATTCAGTTCTGAGCTCATATCAATGGGAGCATCCCATTCAGTGTATCTATGGCTGGAATGCGACATGAAACTGCAATATTTGAAGCAAAACACACGAACGGCCGGTAGGTGGAGCTTATGATTGAATGAGCTCCTGAGACTGACTGTCTCAGATCAAAAATACCATGTCTATCGCATGCACGATAGCAGCAGAGGATGGCGAACTGAGGTTCGACCATGTCCGATCAGCATTGACCGTGAACGGGTACTGTGACCCGGGGCGGGCACAGGAGCGCGATGAGCTGTATGAGAGAACTTGTCGATACCTTTTCCTTAGTAAATATGCCAGAACGCGGGAGATAATTCCGCCGAATAGCAGGCAATCCTCGCAGGGAAGCTTCCACTATCCCTATTTAGAGACGAGAATTCACCAGTGGAGGATTGTGTGCTTTTGGTTTTCCTTCATCATATTTTCCTTTCAGTGATCACATCTTGTGGCAATACTGCTGGTTGTAGTGCTGAACGTTGGTGCGTCGCGCTCTCCATTCAGCGCAAGGTGTGACTTGTTGGATTTTCTGTAGCACATGCGTGCTTCGTGTCTTCGTCGCCGGACGGTTCAATAGTTTATGAAGTTAGTTATTTTTGTAAAACTTCTTCTATACTTATACATGAGAGTATATAAAGCCTGCCATCTTCCGGCTATGCTTCTATCATTCTATATCCCTTTCTTTTTCCTCACAAAGGCCGTCCCAGCTTTGTGAATCGCCACACTTCCATCATGTCATACCACTGGAAGTGCTTGCCAGTGCGCTGGTACTTGCAGCCTAAAATACCGTCCACCAAGATATCATCTGAACTGCAGATTTTGGAGCAAGGGTTTTGGAGTCGGTTGAAAATAGGTGATTCTTTCTTGTCTTCTCAATAAACACAGTGGGCGGATTCTCATACTGTGGTTGGAGTATCTGTAGCGCTTCCTGTAGCGCTTCCAGAATTGTCAAACCCATTGCAATAGGGATCAGCACCTTCTCCTGGTCCATCTGCAAAACCCACTTCCAGGCCATCTCAAAGACACAGTGAGCATCACCCCTTGCCACGAAACCTCTGCAAATGATAAAAACCAACTTCCCGGAAAACCTTGCCCCGGTTGCATTTTTTTCATTGAATGACACTGACTCAAGAATATTGAGGTCAAAATCTGGTGGCTGCAGTTTTGGAATACAGAGTGGAAATTTAAACAGGTCTCTGGATTGCTGAAAAGAAAGCAACAAAATCATGCAGGTTCTCAAGAATCAGAGGGATGATATCAAGTGGGAGGCGCACTAGATTGTCTGTCATGGTGACAGTGAGGAGTCAGAAAGGAGGATGTCGCACGTCAGTGAGCCTTGTGTGATAGAAGACAATTGAGGATCTGACGGCAGACTTCCCATGTAAACGACAAAAGGTCATCTGGGTAGAATGTGAGCGGGTGGACGCCGTTGCTGTGAAGGACAAGAAGTGGAAAGGTGAAAAGGAAATGCGGCAATTGATAAAACTATAATATCCTAGGCGAGTTCAGGCGGTCGGGGTTCCGTGCCTGGCTTGTTTAGCCTCAGGCTGACAGGCGCTAGTTAACTAGTTAGTTTGTTAAGTTGATGCAACCTCGTGGTGGCGCCCACCTTTCGGCAACCAAAATGGGGACCTCTGGCACGTATTGCAGACTGGTAATATTTGGTTATTCGTTGCCCTCCTATGTAAAGCTGTACCCAGTGTTCTCCTTCATTCTTCTCTGTTTTCTACGTCAATAATGGACGCTCTGAATTCATGCGAATCTGTTCAAGGAACAGTCTGCCATATCACGAGGCTGCCGTTAGAGATTATCACACTGATTCTTGCAAGCCTAGCAGACTTCGAAGCTCTTTCTGCGACGATTCAAACATGTCGAACGCTCATTTCGGTGTTCCGATTCACCAAGATCACCCGGGTTTGGCGTCTAACGATCCAACCTACAATCCGGAATAATCAGCATCATCATAGCAGGGACACTGATAAATGTGCAAGTTTGATATTCAGCTGTTCTAATTCCTTCCCATTTTGAATGCAGACTACATTCGAAAGAGCAGCTGTCTATCCCCCTCTAGCCACTGTGTATGCAACGGATCCAAGGGAGTAAGGCATAGAGTATACAGATAAATTTGCCAGACTACAGTTGACGGCCGGCTGAGATACGGACCATCATAAGATGTACACAATCACACTCCTATCGCTAAGACCATGCCCATACGCCCAATGATAATTAATTCATGCCAGATCTAAAAGCAAAGCAAGCAGAGTGCAACCAGAGCCGAAGGCGATGGCAAGGTGGCTGCGCCACCAGAGGCAAGGATGACTTGATGAAAACCCAACGCTGGGAATGGACCCGACGGATTGAAGAAGTCAAAAAGTATATATATATATATATGTATGTATGTATGTATTGCTCAGCACAGTGCAGACCAGCAGGACGCCAAGGTCCTGTACGATCATCTCATATAGAGGCGGGGGAATACGAATATCATTAGATGTAGGGGGAGTGGTGGCGGCGCCGCAGAGAGGTAGTTTCTATGACCAGGAAGATATCTTGGCACAAGATCGTGACATTCAGTGTCAATTTTTGCTGTTAGATCTGCTGTTTCATTTCCTAAGATGCCTACATGAGCAGGTACCCAAGATAGATGGATTTGAATGTTTTCATCTATTAGCTTAATTTTTTCCACTCTTCTTTGAATCTTATATTTTTGAACTCTTTTTAATATTGTTTGATTAAGAATATGTAAATATCTTTAATATTAACTTTTGAGTGATAATTTTATTAAATAACTCAGCAACATTTTATTTCTAGATTTCAAAAGTATAATTTATACTCAAAGTTCAATTTAAAATATATTAGAGCTAGACTAGTTTTTAAATAATCTTTCTTATTTTTTTCAAAAAGTTCATTAATAAAGATATTTATTAATAAATTTGATTTTTTTTTTAAAAAAACTAATATTTATTGTATTTTATATTTTCTATACTTAAGTTTAATAATTTATTTTATTATATATATTTTATAAAGCTAAATTATAAAATTATTATTAAGTTTTTAAAATATTTATTTCAATTTAAAATTATTTAATTATTTAAAATTTTTTTAATATATTTGATAAATATAAAGTAGATATTTTTATTTATATTAATAATTTATATAAATTTTATTAGAGTAAATAGTTAATAATTAAATTAAAGCTTTTACTTTATAACTTTAATAAATAATATTTTAAATAGATTTAATATTTTTAAAAAAAGCTTTATTTTAAAGTGATTAAAAATATTTTATATAATTTTTCTGCTCTTTATATTAAAATTTTAACTATATAATCAAATATAAAAGTTATAAACTATATTTAATTATTTTATAATTTAAATAATAATTTTTTCAGTATTAAAAATTCAAATTATTATAATATGATTTAATATATAAAATTAATTAGAATAAAAAGTAATAAATTTAATAATATAATATATTTTATATTATATATTATTTTTAAGTTTTAACTTAATTAAAGTATTAAAAAATAATATAATTTATAAATAAGTAAAATATATAAGTAAATAAATTAATTTTTTGATTTTAAATTAAAATTATTATTTAATAATTAAAATATTAATTAATTATATAAAATTATTAAGCTTTTAATCAAGAAAAAAGTTTTTTTAATTCTTTAAGTATTTAATAAAAATTAAATTTCTATACTATAAGTGATTGTAAAGTTATTATATTATATTTTTTATAATAATTTTAATGATCATAATTATAATTATATAATATATAATAATATATTATTAAAAACTAAAAATTTAATATAATATAAAAAGAGTTTTTTATTATACAAATTCTAGTTTAAAATAAATAAAAAAATTATTTTAAATTAAAACTATATGAAAAATAATTATATAATTTTTAAAATTAAAAATTTAATTTTTTATTTATAATTAATTTTATAACTAAGTATAAAACTTTATCAATAATATAAAAAATTATAATCAAAGATTTTATAACTTTAAGTATAATTAATAAGCTCTATATAAAATTTTAATATTATTTATAAATAATTTAAACTTAGTTATATAAAATATTATTAAAAAGTATAGAATTTTATTGAATAGTATTTACAATTTTAACAAGTTTAAATTTAAAATAAATATTATTAAAATAATTAAAGTAATAATTAAATCTAAAAAAGTTTAATTATTTGAAACTTATATAATTTAAAAATTAAAAATAAATAACTATTATTTTTAAAAATATTATTATTAATTGAGCTTTTCATATAATAATTATTTTTTTAAAAAAATAATATAATAATTTTTATAATATAAAAAAGTTTTATATAACTATATAGTTAAAGTTAGTAGAATAATTAAATAAAAAATAAATTAAAACTATTTTAATTATAAAATATTTAATAATAATAATTTATTTTATATAAAAATAAAATAAAAATAAATATTAATTTCTAATATTTGATAAATATAAAAATTATACTTTAATTGAATTTAATTAATTCTACTTTAAGAATAATATTAATATTTATTATATATATAATATTTAATTTATTTATAGTTTTTGAATATTGATTATATTTTATTTTTAAAAAAAAATTATAAATAATATATAAAAAAGTATATATAGTTTAAAATTAATTATATTAAAAAAAGTTTTTAATTTTATATTAAATAACTTATATATGAATTTTGAATAAAGTTATAAAATTAATTTTATATAATTTAAAGTAGATTTTATATTTTAATATTATATTATATTTTATATATCAGTTAAAATAGCAAATTAAAAAGATTCAAAATTATATTTATTATTATAATTATATAAAATTCGTTTAATCTTACTTATTACTTTAAATTAGTTGATCAAGAACTATCAAATAATTGTTACGGCGCACCTGCTCGTATATGGATTAAGGTTGATCCGCTCTGCTACGCTCTTAAGGTTGGTCTGTTCTGACCTCAACCATATTCGGTTGCTCATGTTGATCCGTCCGATCCGATCACCAACCACTCCTATATATTCAGTTACTCATTCATTCCACATTCTAATCCTCAGTTTAGTATTCTCATCGCAGCTGCCTAGTTAGATAGATGAATTGAAGTTGTTGTCTTGTTATCATCCTGACTCTAGTTGAGCCATGACAATAATCATATATAAAGTAGCTTTTGTGAAAAAAAAGTCAAAGAATTGAAAGTTGCAATATTAAACAAAACAAAGTATTAAAGAAAATATATATATAGTTCAAAAAAAAAAAATTTAAGATTAAAACAGAGAATATCATATACAAAATATAAATAAGAAAGAGAAGTAACTAGTTAAGAAGATTACTAAATCTCAATCACGAAAGCAAACAACATCATAGTATAACATACATAAAATTATTGAACATACTGCGCTGTACATAATCTAGATATATTGAAAATAATTCATAATATAATTAGCTTTATTTTCTTGATAGTTGAAACTTGAAGACATTTGATTTTGACTCAAGTCACAAAAGTGATTTGTTTGCTTGTATGTTCTACTTACTTGTGAATTACATTAAAACTATTTAATTACATAATTTTTGATATTTATTGTTCTATTGATTTTATTATTTCAGTGTGATGCTCTCATTATGTGTAAGTCGCAGCAGCAAATGTCAATTTATTTATTCAGATTTAGAATTCATTAAACTATCATTTTCTCCAGTCTCAGTCAAATTTTGTTTTATATTGTACATAAATCCGTTCATGAAAATCAACCATTGAGTCTATTTGCAAAAGTAACGTGAGATACACCAAATAAACATGTGAGCTTCACAAGTGTTTCCTGCTTTTTAAGAGCAGAAATTGTAAGTTCAATTCGGCCCTCTATTTCTGTAAAGTTTTGTGTATTTATCTTGCAAATTGATGGTATAAATTACGTTAGGCTGTGTGCTGGGTTTTATTTATTTAGCTCGGTTAAAAGTCACACCACTTAAAGGTTAGTTAACTAGTTTCCATGGCTCCAGGTCTCTCAAAATAGGAAAATTGGCACAAGCATCCAGATATCCGAAACCCTGCCAAACAAGGCTTTTGTTCTTTTAGCAGGGCAGAGCTCTGAGATGGTCTAACTAACTGTTATTGGTTGAAAGACTCACAGGCTCTGGTCATTTGTTGAGCCCCGGCTGGCTCTCCCCAGTGTTAAAAGTAAGGCGGAGAACACGCAGAACGGATATCATCGAGTCTACGGGTAAAAGCCCTCTCTTTTCTCACGTCTGTGCTTTTATTAGACAGTGATCATTCAGACTCCACCGCATTTCTCGGCGCAATACCTGACACGAGCTGCTGATTAGTTGGTTCGTAGTTAACCGTGTTTGGGAGTCTGCCAAACTTGTTCACTAACGTTAGTTAAACGGCTTAATGCCAGCTCGTTGGACTGCGGCTCTCTAGAAATGAACTACCATAATACTCCGTACAAAATCGCCGATTGAGCCATTTTACAACGGGTTAGGTGGAATGTGTGACTGTTACTCATTTACCAAGGCATTTACAGATTACCTCCGCTCAAGTTAACGATGTTCTTTGAATCTGGTAATGGGTCACGGTACGAGACGATCATGCCATCCAGTATCTGAACACTGCATATAGCCAGCTATCAGCCTCGCCAGAGCCCTCTTTTCTGTCGAAGAATCGATTACTAGACGCTCTCTGTTCTACTAGGATACTAGAAACTGGACATCCAGCTTCGAAATTGATGAGATATCGATTTTCCATCGTTTATCGTTGTTGCGAGTTTTTTGTTTCCCGGCTTGCTATCAATTCACACCCTCATATATCTGAACATGGTGACAATTCAAGAGCGAATTGCGGCCTTGAACCAGGCGCATGTTGAACGAGCACCCGCTGCTTCCTCTTCTCGAGAAATCAAACCAGATCTACCTGGCCCTAGACCTCCCATTTCCCAGAGAGACATTCCCGATGCTAACCATGATTCCCGCCCCTCCTACGCGTCAGTTAAAGATCATATTATACTTCCCCCACCGACGATCACTAGGGCGGGCCAGAGGGTCCCTACTCCCCCACAAAGGCCAAAAAAGGTACCGCCTCCCCTGCCTGCGAGAAAAGCTACGGCTACGACCCGGTTACCTCCGCTGCCTCAGCGCAAGTCATCCGATATCTCTCACCGGAGAAACTCTGGTGATTCTTCAATTTCCACCCCCTCCATATCCGCAAACTCAACAACTTCAACTGGAAATGGCAGATCACCTCCTCCCAGGTCAATCTCGTCTGAAAAAACAGCGACCTGCAGGCTGGCACCAGAATGGGGAGAAATCTCCCTTCCGCCATTGCCTCCAAAGAGAAATGGGAATATAAATGGAAACCAGACGCTGAGATCTCAATCGTCTGTGGGGGGTCTTGATTCGGATTGCCAGCCGTCGTCCACCTCTGTCTTTTCCGTTGCACAGAAGTTACCCATTCGGTCAACTTCATCTTATGCCAATGGTCTACCTCCTCTTCCATCGCGGAAATCTGCGAATGATGATTTTGCCAAGCCCCCTCAGTTACCCCAGCGAAAAATCCCCCCACCTGTCCCTCCATCTAGTGTCCTTGAAAAGATAAAGGCGTCGTCATTTGCTACTATAAATAATCACTCAACAAGTCACGAACCGGTAACCGATGGCTGCGAATATGTTCAACAGGCCAATGGCTCAGTCCCTTCTGTACCAATCAGGTCTCGTCCTGATTTGTCGAAGATACAAGCAACAAAACCACGCATTCCTCCCTCCCCAGCTCCTGTTACCGGCTCGTCAGATCTATGTATGATATGCCGTGATTTTTCTGGCCCGGATAATCACGCAGCAAAATTCCCCAGGCAATCACTTCCTACGAATGATCTTGCCAGGCTCGCCAATCAACTCACCGCTCCTTTCCCATCTCTCACGGATAAAGCCCGTGCGATATTTACCTGGCTCCATCATAACATCGATTACAACGTTGACGCATTTTTTAATAATAACTTGACACCCTCAACAGCAGACAGTACCTTTGCCACCGGCCTGGCAGTTTGTGAGGGGTATGCTGAGCTCTTCGAACGGTTGGCGACGTTTGCTGGATTAGAGGCCCGAATAGTTTCAGGCCATGGCAAAGGCTACGGTTACACTCCACTTCCACCAGGCTCCCCAATACCTCCATACAACAGTAACCATGCTTGGAACGTGGTGCGCATTGACAATGGACGCTGGAAGCTCATCGATGCCTGCTGGGGTTCCGGCAATGTTAGGGGTAAAGGACAACCGTACAACAAAGATTTCACCCCGGAGTATTTCACCATGACCAACGATGAGTTCGGCAACAAGCACTTCCCATCCAATCCGAGCGATTTTTACCGTGACGACGGCCGTCCATGTATATCCTGGGAAGAATATATGAGCATTAACCCTTCCATGCCAAATGGTGTTGAACCTCCTATCATATATACTGGTGTAAAAGCTGAACTTGGAATTGGAGAAAAAACACTCCAGCCCCGATCGAAGAAAATTTCCATTCACCAACAATCCCCGATACGGTTCCAATTCGGCCTCCTTTGCGAACACTGGACGCTGGAGCGAAGTAATATGCAGACTCCGTATCTCTTTATTCTAATGGCTAATGGTATTGATGGACGCAATAAGGAATATCTTCCCTTCCATTATGTACGTGGATCTGGTCCAGGTGCTGGCGGGGACATTTGGTACGTCGATGTCCCCAATCCTCGTATCTTGGGTGCCCCGGGACAGAAACTGCACATCTACAGGGTGACGAGTTTTGGAGACATGCAGGACACTCAAGGTCTTACCAGAGAGGAGTTCCTCCGTGGCATTGGAAGGGTGGCTATGGGATTTGGGGGCGTTGCGGAGTGGGAGCTTATATGATCAAGCATCAATTGATCGGCTGGTTTCTGGATACGATTTTTTGTCGATTGTTATGCGGGTGTCCGATTCTCTTGGTTTCCACCTTACTGTCTCGTAGGTAATGCCCTTTTTATGAGTCTAGTATGCCTCTTCTTCGATATCTTTAATCCACGTTTTTATAGACGGCGAGTAGAGCTCTTGAAATGCGACGAGTTCTCCCGCATGTTCCTTGCCGACACTCGACTGTCCTGTTTTTTGCATTATCCGCCTATATCAGTTTATACCATTCACATCTGGTATTAGGGCTAATTGAGCTCTACTTCGGTCGATAGCACTGAAATTCATTCATTTCTTAAAGCATTTTTTTGATACGATTCTGGTCATGAATCAATCCACTCCTAATAGTGCATTGCCAATATTAAAATAATTAGTTGAAAAGTTTAGTGAAAAGCTTCCCTAACTTCTAGGTTTTTCATCGACTTTTGCTACATAATTCCTTAACTAGACGAAGCCTTAACGTTAAATGATCCTCCGGCGTTAATAGTTTGGTGGTTTACAGGTCATGTGTTTCCGTCCAGTGTCACGCTTACAAGGTAAAGAGTGCTGCTCTCAGAAACAGGTCTCGACTCCAACTGCAGCTCTATCACCCACGATGCCAACCATCAGAGGATATTATCAACAGGAACCGTAGACTGCTGTTATTTTGCGAGACGCAACGATTAAGTCACCCATGTCGTTTTATTCTATGCTACTTGCTCTGAATTATCACGTCACCATCCATTTTTCCCCATGACTGTCAACCCAGCCAAAATCATGCGAAAGAATAAGCTCCACCGCCTCTCATCGTCATCCAATTTCTTTACATGAAGCATATGCTCATGAGCCGCCGCCTCTTTATCAGCATGTGCTCAAATAACACAACCAGGTTGGTTTGGATCTGGGAAGACCGCTAACTCCCTCGTCCCCTTATATACTCTGACATCATGAGCGGTATCGCCCGCCAAACACATCCATTTTTCTGAATCAATACGTACCAGGAGATTGAAGTGGCCGGCAAGATGGCCTGGGGCGTCGATGATAAAGACAGAACCGTCCCCAAAGTAGTCCATGGCGGCTGGCAACGACCCAAGAACTTGCCAGGTCTGGCTTTTCCCACTTGAGGGTAACTAAATCAATGATGACGGTGATGACTATGGAGAAGGGAGTTCGACGGTCTGTTGCAGGGGAAGAAGATTTGAATCAAAGATCGAGTCTGGATCTGCCGGGTACGTGTTTGGGCGGCGCAAGCAGCGCGTTCATTGCGCCTGGCCCAATGACGAATTTTGTCTTGGGCGCTGAGAACTTCGCGGGTCCCCGACGTGGTCATAGTGCAGATGGGAAAAGAAAACCATGTCAATGTCCGTTTTTGGGTCTATGTTGGCTTTTTCGAGGCTATCAAATACACCCTCTTTAACATTGATGATTTCTGGTGCGCGAATTCTTTCGGCTACAGGAGGGATATAGTTCTCCGCGTCCTCGCGCAGGCCTAGGTCGAATATCATTTTGTGCCCGTCGGTTAATGCGTGAGTAACCATGACATTGAGGGACATGTCAGGGTCTCTTTTGATCCTTGGACAAAGTGTTCGCCACGGAGGTGGATGTGGCCACCGGATAATATGAAGAGAGCTACGACTGCGGCAATTGCGAGGTTGCTGCCATCGTATTGTTTGGATGATTGTTGGGGTTCGGAGGACGGCGTGCAAAAGATTATGAGTTGAATAAAAAGTTGGTAAGTGATATGATATGTGATGCTGGGTTGATCTGTTACGGCTTTTCTGATCAGAGGACAATATCACTTTCCAAATCTTCCAATCCGCGAGGTTATGACTCCCAATTTGTTATACGAGCCAGCGATGACATGTTGTGGGGAAATGCCCCACATGGATACATACTCTCCAACTACCGTATCGAAGCAACCGATCGTCCCAGGCAATTTCCTCGGATGGCAGAAAGTTGAAACTCGTCATGAATCGGGTGATTTGTCATTTTATTGTATAGAATACGACTTCGAGCTCCAGCGCTGAACTCCTCAATTGATAATGTTGTGAATTTTTGCAACTGGGCTGTGAGATGTATGTAGTTTACTAACACCCGTTTGTGATGCGACAATGTCAGCCTGATATTTTTCAGTGAGAGCGGAGAGGTGACATATCTCTATTGACCTTCTAAGATCTTTCGGTTTCGACGAACGATCACGAAAGTCCTGAGTACAATGACTCCTTAAGGGTGCTGTTGATATCTGATTCTTCTGAGCTTAATTTTATCTGAGCTCTCCTGTGCGTCCTCCAACGGTCGGGTGCATGTGTACAGTACAACATACTGAAGGTTGTGCTCGCTCAACAATTTGAGAGTAGGGTGAAGAGGCAGACGGTAAGGGCGAAGATTTATGGTAAGAATCCGCTTCTCATGTAGTGCAGACCACAGGGAAGGTTGAAAACCGCTAGCTGGTGAAAGCGGTTTGGTTTTTTTTCCGCCATAGTGATGGTTAGAACCAACTGACTGTGCTGTGTAGATTTCTATTCTTTACGCCCTTTCTTTCTGTTGGGACTAAGAGCAGAGCACTTCTCCGGAATCAGAGTTGACACGAAAAACTGGTCGTAAAGCCGGAGAACGAGTGTTTGGGAACCTTAGCAATGCATATCAAACACATTGTAATGTCAGTCCAATGCTAATAAGAAATTAATATAGATTATCCCTATTATTACACAAAGTCAACATATACATACCCTTTCTTCCATCCAATTTCTTTAACCCTGAGCCTACTTAATATTCAACAAGCAGAACAGTCATCTAGAACAGTCATCTAATACTATGGAATTCAACCTCCCCACCAAGATTCAAGTGGGTCAAAGATGACAACAACCAAAAAGAGTACAGGGCTTGTGACATAGATACGCCGCATTTACAATTCTCCAGCCCCTGCTAGACAGCGTGCTTGTTGTGCAACCCATTAGGGACACTCAGTGCTACTTCGGCAGTGCAACATACCTAGATGCGGTTATGTACATACAACTAAATATGAACTACGATTCAGGGGCATCGGGTTAGTGTGATATTTGTAATGTGCGACGGCTCTGACAGGGTGTATGCGGAGAGGTGGAAGCTATTTCCATTTCTGCGGCATGAGCAGGAGTGCGTCATTGGGTTCACATCCGCCCATATCATATCTATTTTCATATGAGCTTTAGCAGGAAGAAAACAGAAGTCGTCTGGTCTTCCGGCCATCTTAGGGGAGCAGTCATCGTTTTTCCATGTGGGTTAGTCAAGATTGGTGGTGGGATTGACCTAAATATCAGCCAAGAGCAGGACTAAAGGGTTGTGTTCCACAATCTTCTCACAATCGTAATTAAGCATTCGAATGCCTCGGGATACGGAAATGATGGGCTGTTTCGATACAAGTGCCGAAACCTAGAGATTTTACACGAAGACTCGCCACTTCCTTTCGTCTGGTGCCTCTTTCTTCCATGCCTCGCGAACATTGCAAACTTCATTCGGTCCAGAGGTTGGAGTCCCGTGGGCAGAATTGGGAGAGGGCGCAACGGCCAACTATATATATATATATATATATATATAAAGAGCAAAAGTGTAAACCAAGAAGACAAAGGCGCTAAAAGAAGTAGACCATTCAAGTTACCAAACACCGGCGCAATTGTTTGAGTGGTAGCTTTCATGGTGCAAGGCCGGATAAAGGTTCAATATCTTCCATTGGGCATCCTAGACCCAGGGACCCAAAGCATTCCGCTGGAAAGTTGATGATGTGGTAAGCCGAACAGCGTTGTGGCCTGGCCGGCTTTTATTTGGTTCGTAGGGTCTGATGATCTCGAATAAACCCTGGAACAAGCAGACTCAGGGTGAGAACCCCCCAAACACCCTCAATAGCTTTAATTCTAGGCGCCCGCAATGAGACTTAATCACTGGGTGTGAGTTATGACAAGTTCTACGCAATAACCGAACATGGCCTTAACTGTGCAGTCTGTCAGTTAACCAATAAATAACCACTCAGATGATCAGGTTCTTGGTTAGCTGATGTTCGAAACTAACTTGCATCCGCTGGACAAGCAATTTGCAGATCGAGGCGAGTTGTTATTGTTGAAAGAATGCTGAGCAGCAATCAAGTAACGTAATGAAAATCTCATAGTCCTAGCAAGCCGTAAATGGGTTGCTGTTTCATTTCCGTTCCTTGGATTTGCACATGTTGTTCATCGTTTAGTTGTCGGTGCATAGATATAAAGTGGCATGATTGAATAAGCGTATCGATCGATTTGCATTTAGCTCCTAGTGTGTAGGGATCAATCGATCCCGCAGGGAATATGCATATCACCAATGCCTAAGATATGGCGGATGATTTCAGTGGCTTCAAACCTCGGAGTCAGTGCTGATAACTTTGAAGTTAGCCACAGGGGTGAGGGGCGCAAGTACTGTAAAGTATATACGCTCATCTGCTTTACAAGACAGTAAGTACGCTTTTGACTTCCGTTTCGTCTCTCCCACCAAAGAAATGAAGTGAGATGGTTGGCTGTTTCGTGCTTGAAACGCGCACTGCTTGGTACTTTCAAGCCGCACCGAAGCCGCGCCGAAGTCATCCTGACCCGCTCCGTCTATCTAGTGGTTGGAAGGAATAACATTAATCCGCGAAAAATGCGCTTCGGTGAGCTCCACCGTTTTAATAAGTATAAAGGGAGATAAACCACGTCGAGACGTCAAGGTCATGGAGGATTAAGAACCTAACTTCGTTCAAGTGACCAAATAAATTTTCAAAGAGCTGAAGGATTTGTGCAAGCTACTGATGCCTAACCGGGTTCTCATCGAGGGAAATAAGAGACGATAGGAGAGGAATAGGGCACAAGGCTCACCGAGACCTTGATGTTTTTAGTACTGCAACGTCGATAAAGAAGCTCGTAGTGGGAGCCTGGGCCAGCAGTCGCAAGGGAATGGATAAGAGCATTGCATCGACCAACCGTTCGGCGGTATTGTGGATGGTGGAGATTTACATTCCCCGCTTCAAATGCTTGATCGATGCGAAGCATCTGATGAGACGCCTAAAGCGTGATCCTAGGACCAAAAATTCTAAAAATTATCAGCCTTGGGAATGCTTGATTTTTGTGGGGTGAGGAGCCCATTAAACACATCGCGTTTTCCAGGATTTAGAAGGGATTGGAAATTTACAACTTCCTACCTGGCTGATTACCGCTCATCTAAAATAACTGTTCTGATCAGGCATGATATATATACAACTATGCATATCTCTGTGAATCTGCTGATATTTTCTTGTCAAAGGTTGTGTACAGAGTATACATATCGTATCATTCGGAGAAGTTATTTTAGCTTTTAGCCACGATGTAATTAGCCAGGAAGCGGCGCCGTCGTCAACCCCCCGACTTAGATTGTTATTTGCCTCTTCCCAGGATATTTATATCGATTTTCGGACTTGGCCAAAGAACTTACCGAAACCTGGAGGTCCGCTGAAAATGTCAGCAGGCCACCGTCACAGCCCTGTCCTTGTTTTATTCCTTGAAGAGCGACGCTCTCTTCCAGATTCTGACGTCCCTAATCCCACGAATGATCTCTTTCTTTTGGAAACTCCGACGGTCCTCGGCCTTTATTTACACGGAGAAAGCAACATTAGATGTCATAGCTTAATCTTTGCCAGCAAGTAGTTTCTTAGTCTTCTAAAGGAAATGACATCGGGAAGTGAAGGACAATAAGCCAAGACAGAAGTTTTGGGAAGGGACTTTAGCTGCAATGAAACTTGCACGCGCAGCCGCAGCTTCGTCATATGTGGAAAAAGTTTTATGTTATGGTGCAACAAGCAAATATCGAAAGCCTAATCAGGATTAGCCGCACATGTGGGGACCAAGATGGCGGTTTAACTGACAGCAGCTGAGAGGATACTTTGGACAAACATGCTGGGGAGGGGAAACGGGAGTTTGCAGGGAATTCAGCCACTGAATGATTTGAAAGGGAAGTTGGTTCGGATTACCGATGCAGCAAGGGATCATCAATTCTAGGAACTAAACTGCAAAAGGTCTAGGATATGTTGATCCAAATAGAATGCACCCCAAATCTCGGCAACACAGCTCTGCATCCATGGATACAGGTAGATTGCAAAATCTAGTTTGACAGCAACCTAGAACGCGAAAAGCTGGAGAATGGTGGGAGGAATACGGAGTATGCAAAGATACAATCGTGCGGGATCCCTGCTCGTGATGTGTTGTGCCACACAGTTGCCCTTCCCCACACCTTGCTGTCTCTGTCGTCTCTTGTTTGTATAAAGCAGCTGTATTATCCATCACCGCTTCATTGTGATGTACATACTTGGCCATTTCCACGTTTCTTCTGTTACCTTCGGGGTTGTCCTTTAACTTTTATTTTATTTTATTTTTTTTTGTTTCAAAATAAAGCTCGGGAACGAACGGCATAGCACTGGCGGGTGGAAATATATCCCTTCAACGGGATAACAAAACATCATGCCGTCATTAGCTGGCAATATCTATCTCATCGCTGCCGTGTCGGTAATTGGGGGTGGTTTGTTTGGTTTTGATATCTCGTCGATGTCTGCTATTATCGGCACAAGAAACTATCTTTGTTACTTCGATCAGGCTGAGCCGGGTCAGAAATGCAAGGGTCCAAAACCAGATGTTCAGGGCGGTATCACGGCCTCCATGGCAGGTGGCTCTTGGCTAGGTGCTCTTACATCCGGCTTTTTGTCTGATATTTTTGGGCGCAAGAAGTCCATCATGGTTGGTGCAATTATTTGGTATGCCATACTTTCTTCCTCCGCAGCTGAATGCGTTGGGCCATCAACTTTTGATGAGAAAAGTTTTTATATGTTGGATATCAATAACAGGGGAAGCTGACTGGGTTGCTTGTATAACCAGGGTGGTTGGCTCTATTATCACCTGTGCATCGCAGAATATTGGAATGTTGATTGTTGGTCGAATCATCAACGGTTTCAGCGTTGGCATTAGTTCCGCCCAGGTCCCTGTTTACATTGCAGAGTTAGCGCCTCCATCCAAACGTGGTCGTCTGATTGGCGCGCAACAATGGGCAATCACATGGGGTATTATGATTATGTTCTAGTAAGCACCATTCCACGAATAATCTTCTGATTCAGACACTAACACGACAACACCCAGTATTTCCTATGGAAGCAGCAAGCTTGATGGACCTGCGGGTTTCCGACTCGCGTGGGGTTTGCAAATGATCCCCGCTATATTGCTCTTTCTCGGTCTAATACCCCTGCCCGAGTCACCACGATGGCTTGCTCGCAAGGACCGCTGGGAAGATTGCCTTAGTGTGTTGACATTGGTGCATGGAAGAGGTGATCCGAACTCCCCATTCGTCCACCGCGAATATGAAGAGATCAAGGAGATGTGCGAATTCGAACGACGAAATGCTGATGTGTCCTATCTTGAACTGCTTAAACCCAGCATGATCAACCGCACTCATGTTGGTGTATTCACCCAGATCTGGAGTCAGCTCACTGGCATGAATGTCATGATGTATTATATCACGTAAGTCGCCACCCTTCCAGGGTTGTCAAGTGATGGGCTAGTAGTTGTCCTTTTTGAAAGGGGTTCTCATAATGTTTCTTTCCTCAGATACGTCTTCGGGATGGCTGGTCTCACAGGAGATACTCTGATGGTCTCAAGTAGTATTCAATACGTTATCAATGTTGTCATGACCATTCCGGCGCTTCTGTGGGTGGACCGTTGGGGCCGCCGCCCGACCCTCCTAGTTGGAGCTTTCTTTATGATGCTTTGGCTCTTTACCAATGCTGGGCTTCTTGCATCTTACGGGCATCCTGCCCCGGCAGATCGATTGGTCGAAGCTCAATCCTGGTTGATTTCCGGTCCCCCTAGCAAGGCAGTTATCGCATGCTCCTATCTGTTCGTTGCTTCGTTTGCTCCAACTTGGGGTCCCGTTTCCTGGATATACCCACCAGAGCTGTTCCCTCTGCGGGTACGTGGGAAAGCTGTTGCCCTCTGCACATCCGCCAACTGGGCTTTCAACTTTGCCCTTGGCTACTTCGTTCCGCCCGCCTTTGTCAACATCCAATGGAAGACGTATATTCTCTTTGGCGTCTTTTGCGTGGCCATGTTTATTCATGTCTTTTTCATGTTCCCTGAGACATCTGGCAAGACTCTCGAGGAAGTTGAGGGGATCTTCACCGATCCAAATGGCATCAAATACCTAGGAACCCCTGCTTGGAAAACACGCGTTGATTACCACCGTGCAGCGCTGCTGGAGGAGACAGGTGTAAGGGACGAGGAGAAGCTAGAACCACTGCATGCGGATGACAAGAACTAAAGTTCCCAGAGATCCTAAACGTTGTTACTGTGATCGGCTCAACAACGAAATGGACTCTATTTCTGTTAACTGTTCCAATTTTTCTCTGCGAAATACTCACCCCCAGTCAGATAGATGATGGACGTGTAAACCTCTTTGTCGGGATTGCCAACAAATGGTTCTGTTGAAATACACGCAAGTGCCATCACCGCCTTTTCCCCTATAATCATCAGACGTTTAGGAATTTCTGCAAGGGAATAATAGGTCTTGAAAACAGAATAGCACAGCGCAATCCGGTGCATTTCTACCAACCATAGTTTCTCATATGCTTCTTTCGATTTTGCCTTGAAAGTACCCAATACTTACCCTGTACTCAATCGTATATATAACGAGCTCATGTCGCAGCAGCTAATATATGGCCCTTTATCTGATTATCGTCTTGGCAACCAAGTGTTTTGTGTTCATGTCCATAAAGTTAAAAGAGTGTATGTACATGTACATGTTCTATACACTAATATCGTGGATATGTGGGTGGATGACTTAAGCTGAACATCTGCAGCTGAAATGTTTAGCCGACCGGTTTACATCACAAATAATTTTCGGTCTCGTTTTGCTAACATTTGGCGGTGTTTGCAAACGCTGAGAGGTCTGTCCCCCGGAGTAGATTAACCGTACCCATGGGAACCTGGGTAAGCCATGAATATGCCGATGAACAAAAGGAGCATGGATGATTGAACATGACTCACAAACTTCCTCAAAGTGGTTTTGCCAGAATGGGCTTCGTAGTAACGCGATAAGCTGTCCAAATTCCCGCTTTAGACGCGTTAAGCCGAGTTCTGGCTTTCTCTGGGGCTCGTACTGAGGCTGACTGGTATCTCCTCTATATGGGCTCTGCTGAAGGCACTTGGCGAGCATTTCCAGTAACAACAATATTCGCTATTTCTCAAGTGCATTGAATGGCCATTTGAGTTACGCTCACCACTCTCCACATTGCATTGTCCAATGGATTTGTGGCTGCTCGATGGTTCTCTGAGAAATTGGCAGTGAGTTGCTTTCTCCAGTAATAAACGGATTTACAGATGAGGGAAGGGAAAATGCATTAGAATAAACTATAATCCATAATTTGTTAATGAATACTGGTTGTCTTATTTCATCTCCCGTGCATGGCAATGTGTACATGCATTTGGCTTCTAGGGATAGCACTTCACTAAGTAACTCCGTCAAACCAGGCCACCTGCAGTTGACAGTTAAGGGACACAAGAGACATCCCACGATTCTTTCAGGCATGCAATCCCTCAGACTTTTTTTTTTTTTTTTTTTTTTTTTTTTTTTTTTTGGAAGGAAACAAAGCGATTCAGCTTTGAATGCTATGTCATTTCAGATTTTAAGATCTGTGTATTTTTATGTTATTATTTGCTTTATAGGGCTAATGGGAAATCTCGCAAATTTCGGTGCTCAAGTTCCACCCATCGCTGATAGATGGGAAGCTTGGTAACATCCGTTAAGTAGAGACTGCTATTCGCCAACTCAGCTGATCTGATATTGCGTAGCCAGAACGTTTGTCGGGATGGAGTGGGCCTGGTTAGGTAGATAAATCGGAGCATAACCTGGGAAACGGTGGGTGTTCTTTGAGAACAAGCCTTCCTTCCTCTCTCTGGCATTCCATCCATTAACGGACATCAGGACGTTGGCAGACAAATCTACCAAATATCAAAGATGCCATGGATTCCAAAATGTTCCCTTTCGGGACACTTGACGTTGAAACGGGGGTTATGGGCGCATGTGGCTTGCCAACTGGTTGGCTACGTGCTTATAATCACGGGTTTCACTATAGGTATCCGGTTGGGAAGAATGCTAGATATGGTATGCAGACAAGAATATCTTTCCCATTTAAATGTAAGCTTTCAGTTCCTCATTGGATACTAGGCTAAAATGAGGTCCATCTAGCTTTATAACAACACACACCTAATTCTCGGGACGGTTGTTATTGTTGCTTGTCCAACCCTTTATAGGGTTGCTTTACGACCACCATTTCATTGCAACGAAGGAATCAGGTGTGCGGATCTATATTCATGTTTGGTATGGTCGGTTTCTCACTATTCTTGGAATCGTAAATGAGGGTCTTGGCCTACAGCTGGCTGGAAACCCTGAAGCGGGAACCATAGTGTACGGGGTAGTTGCAGGGCTTGTAGGGGTGGCCTATTTCACAAAAGTGGTTCTATTCAAGAACGCAAAGCGGAGCCTGAAAAATGATATAGTAGTTGAAGTTAGGTCGAGGAAATATCCCATTCGCAACAGGCGTGAATAGATACTCAAATGTGAATTCGCTGGGCATTTAGTAATTATTGAGAGAAGATGTTCAGATCAGTCTGCATGATATGATGATGGAAAGGTTTGATATTTTGCATCATAGAAACTAAGCGTGTCCACAAACATTATTGGGTGTGGAGACTTCCTCAATATGACAAACTGCATACCAAAGTTTGCTTAGTCCTTGTTGCTACTTGTATTTACCTAGTTGAAATGAGTGAGGTTGAAACAGTCATGCTTGAGATGGGAGATCTTTCAAGCAAGGTTTGAGTTAAGGTGCTGACTCAGCATAAAGCCATTCTATTCTTGGATTAGCGTTATTTGCAAATCATAACCTGCATCAAGGGAAAACCTTAATCATCAACCATGCTTGATGCGGAAGTCAAATCTAGATCTATAAAAGCTTTTTCGAAAAAATACATTCAACATGACGATATATCCAAAATTCCTAATCTCTTCTTATGCCTTCCAACTCTTCTGTTTCCAAAGCCAATCCTCAAAATCCACCCCTCCTAAATCCTTCGGGATCGCCGTGTGAGGCTGTTCCCACATCTTCGTCGCCTCAAACAACATGTGGCAGGACGGGTTCTCGGCCAAGGCTTTTAACCTCATCGTCTCCGGACTATCTTCGCCCTCCAAAAGTAACCTCCCTTCATACGCTCTTTGCGCAAAGACCTTTGCCCTTGCCTGGTCGCTGTGTGCTATTGTAATCTGCAGTGCATCATTGTAGACTCGCGCAATCCTCGAACCGGCTATACCTTCGTCTACGAGCATCCGGAAAAGGGTATATGCGTCTTGAAGGCAATCATCCGGCTTCGACATCAATCGTCTTCCATCTCCTAGCACAAGATCCAACCGAGCAATCTCCTCCAGACGACCATCTCTCTTCTTAGTCGCTTCCGCAGGAATCGCGCAGACTTCACATCTGCATCTGAAGCCAAAAGCATTCTCAAAACATTCCTGGCGAGTTTCATATAATTCCGTACCGTCGATGTATGCAATTGTAATTTCTTCTCCTTTGTCGATATCTTTAAATGCCTGGATCGTAAGTTTTCCCAGGTTACGATTCCATGTATTTTGTGAATTCGGTTGGCACGAGTGGTTGATACGTGCAGCCTGGGGAAATATAGCTCCCTCTGCCCCTCTTGCGCCAAATGGCATAGCATTTGTTTTGATGGTGCCAATCACAGGACTGCATCTGCCTTTATGGGCATTGTGGAGCGAAAAGAATGATTGCTGCTTCTCTTTACTCAGAGCCTTCAGTGCTTTGAGAATTGTTCTTTCCACATATTCCAAATTCTCCGTCGTGCTGGGGACCGTAAAAAGGGGCTCCTCGAGGATTATTCGTGTGCCTTTCGGGATTTTCGCGGTAGCAAAGCAGCCAAATCCCCTCCCAGGAACAGCTTTGATGTCGTATAGTTCATTATTGCTAACTGGGAGAGTGGTGCCCGTTGCTTGAACTGCCCCATTGCCATTGTGACTAACATTGTATTTTCTTGCTTCCCCGGTCACTCTCTGCTGTCGTTCCTCGAAGGAAAAGTTTTCGTATAAACCCATTTTCAATTTTCTTCTAGTTCGTCTCCAAAGTGGCCCTCTAGTTGTTTTCTCTCCAGTCGCTCTCACAGAAAATGCAAGGGAGGCTATGAGGACTAAGAATAAAACAAATGTGCTGGATGCGCTGTAATGGGCAATCTGGATCCAAACTTTCCTGGATAATTGATATTCAATTTGAGGTTTGATCGGTTAAAAACGTGGTGTTTTTTGACATTGAGTGTAGAACTTTGTTGGTCAGAATTATTAGGAAATTGAAGGTAAGAAATACTTAGGAGAATACAGAAAAGACAAGATAGAACGAAATTTTTATATTGGAAAAATTATGAGATGGAAAGGGAAATAACAAGATGTTGACGGATCAACATCTTGCTGTTATATTGCTCTTGGCATTGAAGAGTTTCTCTTTTGTCATCGAATTGAACTGACTCGGGTGTTTGAGACACTTTAAAGTAAATCAATATCTTCTATTCCCATGTATCAGATATATATAGTGGTACCAACGTATACAGCTAAGGGTTATAAAACTGGACCGATGGTTGAAAGTTTGTACGCAAATTTCACGCTGGTAAAGGGTTCGGCTGGTAGTTAGCCGAGATAATGTAACTTATACAATATAATAAACGCCTGGATTTATTGCCATCGTTGGCTTAGGAGAATCTTTGGAGGCATGTCAGCTGTCATTTCAATAACTGGTGAAAGTTTGGTGCTTCGCAAGATGTCGCTGACCTGACATAACAAGTGCTTTGGGATCTTGGCCGGGTAGGCTTACGGCATCACGTGGAACCCGGCAACCTTGGAAAGGGTTCATTAAAGCTGAAAATAACTATAGTTATAGATGGATTAGCAAGCATGGGAAGAGATTTCAAGACTATGGATGAATGGGCCTGTACAGTTAATTGGGGTTTTTATTGCATCAGCTCTCGGTGCCATTGGGTGTTGTAAAAGTCTAGTAAACGTCTTGCAGAAATGCTGTCTATCGGGCGAATGATCGCTTGCATCTATAGAGGGGATCGTCGTTCGACTAAATAGAGCTGCCTTCGCATGGTCAACCTAAGGCTCTGTCGTTCTCTATCAGTGCAGAACGGACAAGAGGGGTGGTGTAACCCTTAACCAGCTCCGTAGCGGAAAGACAGATGACTCCAAAGTCATTGCATGAAAGGCATGTCCACCAACTTTTTCCCTGCGGTGGAGATCTGGAGAGACAACCCTCAGGCACGTCATATTTCATGGCGAGTCTTGTCAGCGGGATCGGGAGATGATGTATCGTCTTCGCTCTCATCGTTAACCAGCTGGGGTTACCACACTTTGCCAACCTTCGCCGGGAAATGTCTCATCTCCGTTTCCAAGTTTCGTGCTATCTCTACCTCCGCTTCCAGTCCTTCTCGTAGCTCGACTCTTCTTTGACTGGTGTGCTCCTAAAACGGTTTGCAACTGGCTGAAGACTGTGTGTGCCATTGTATAGAAAAGGAACATTTTCATTGCAGTTGCAGATTTTATGGAAGGCTTGTATGACCCAATAATGAGCTCTGGTAATATGCTGGTAGACGTGTCGAGATGGATAGGGGTAGTGAGGTGTTTGATGCAGTGTTCCATATGGCCAAAGACGCATTGATACATGTTCATTACACGATCGTATCAGGATAAAATTAGGAGAAATGATGCGCGATCAGGAACATGGGAATGTGAGGTGGGGGGTACATGTGGATTCCTGGAGGTAGATGTTTGATCGTTGTGCTGGTTCAGGGAGGGTGAATAAGACGAGGAAAGGGAATACACTGCATTCACAATATCTATGACGCTTTGGATGAGCCGAAATATTTCGTTAATCTCAAAAATACGGCCAGCCACAGCAGCATGGATATCGGAAAGCTTAGCAGACACATGCGGCAATTTTGCAGTATGTTAACATAACTTTACATTTAAATCTGCAAGACTTCGAACGTACTGCACTGATGCGTCTTGTGTCTCCACTCCACTCCTTTGGGGGTTGTCCCGTGGCAAAGAAAACAGGAACCAGAGATAGATTTTGAGATGACAGCATGGATTCATTAAAGTTGTTGGAGAAATGCGGCAGCGAAAAGCCATCGACTGCAAGGATTGGAGTTTCTTGAGGCAAATCGGGCACTTAAGGCCATCCGCCAAAGCAAAATCAAAAGATACAGAGCTTGTATGACCAGGTCCTGATAACACGATATGTGCTTTTGTTTGACAGAGATGTGATGTCGGTCTATGAAGTTGAGCACAGTAAGAAACCAAATAACAATTTACCTATCCAGTTTTCCTGAGCTGTGTCTTCGCCGGCTGCGTTCTCAAGGATGTCTTCTTCCGCTGGACGGCCTTGGTAAACCTTAGCATCACCCATTTCTTTTAAATCATCTGCTGCCCTCTTTGAACGGTGACGCGGCGGATGAAAAACAGTCTGTTGTTGACGAAGGCTGCACAGACAGAGCTAATCAAGTCGGGTGCACCTTAAACAACTCTTTTGGCCTTGCAGTCTCTCGCATCGAAGCTTCTGCGAATGGCACCGGCCACAAGCGGATCAAATCTGGCGCTGACCAGCATGGTCCATAGTTGGACCCGACCGAACGCTTCCTGGCTTTTTGTTGTGAGGTTGTGGATGCGTTTGACTTGTGGTTAATTCATCCTCCGAATTCAACGTTGCGTGAAGGCAAATTTAACTAGGGCTTACATCTACACGTTCAGCCTATCAGGTGTCCAGAAGAAAGATAAACAAACACCCTGCGAACCACAAACCAAGAAGGCTTATTGAAACAAGTTGCCAAAGGCACTAATTATGAAAGTCAAGATGAGATGTTTAACCAAAATACGTTATGAGAGACAACCTAATGGTGATTAAAGTTGTAGATTAGCTTCGGGGGCACAATGACCTAGAGTTAGGTGCCTTCAGGCCCGAGAGTTCCTAAGACTGATGCTACAACACTCCGCTCAGGGCTCTGACGTGTGAGCTCCGTACTTCAATTTCGTATCTAGTGCATTGACGCCGGTGAAAACGTTTTGGGCACGATCACTATGGAAGTAGTTAGTTAGTTAGTTGTTATAGTCTCAGAAGATTCCTAGGACCAAGGTTAGACAAAGTTTTATCCCTGATAGATAACGATTTACCGAGATTATGTTCCTTCCCCTCAATTTTATGCCAATCTAGCCATCCAGCCGATATCCAACAAGTCAGATACCTATATGCATCCAATGAAAAAGCTTCAAGGACCGTCTTGCGAATCACCAGGGTTCAGCAGAGTGAGGTCATGCGCTGGCTTCCATGTGCTTATTCCCATGAGGACGTGACAATTGAAATCACAGAAATTGGGATCGATGGGTGAGTTAAATACAGCCAACGCGCTGGAGATATCCATGGAACCTCAATAAATCACATCTTCGACTTGGTTGGATGGGAACTGAAGCTAGCTGGCTTATCCCCGAGGTTGTTCGAGCTGGAATGAAGAATGACCTCGTGCATATTGTTGGAGCCTAGGCTTCCTATTATGGACTAGTGCACCGCACAGTAGTATATAGCATCCCTAAGATAGGCTACCAAATACAACCACTTCAGACGTCCAACAGGTTATGAGCCTGGATAGCTTGTTTTTCTTTTTGAAGAGCCTTCTGCACACTACTTCCGCACTCTATTTCTTCTTCTTTTATCTGAGGTATAAAATGTCTCATGTGGACTATATTGCTGAATTGCAGCAAGAACCTGACAAAAAATAACTGTTTTAAAAGCTTTGATTATGAGAAACAAATTGAACCCAGGAGAGGTAAACAGATGTCTTCAAGAACATGAGCTGCAGAATCATTGGATACCTTTGCAAGCAACAACATGAATAGAGATGAATATAATATATTTACCTCTGAGTCTAAAGGAGAAACTGATCAAAGAGATGAAATAAATACAAAAAAAAATCAATATGAATACGATGTGAATGATGATAAAATACATGAAAAGATAGTGTTAGGGAGCGAATGCGAGCTGCATAAGAAGGAAGCTCTCTGCGTTGCTAACTGCTATATAACGAATTACTAAGGTTGGTGAGGTGAGGAAAAAGGGTGTCAGAGTCTACTCAGGTTATAAACAGCCCGCGTGATCACGTGACCGGATCACGGCCGATCTGCTAAATGTAGCGGCGCCCGCCTGGGTGGCGTTGCCCTAACGACCGCCCCGCCCACACGTGATCGCTTGTATGTAATATAGCAATAACCTAGCTAGCTCCTCCGAATAGAAGGTTCAACCATCCCACAGGTTATAGCCCAGATAGCTGGTTTTTAATAAAAATCATGTTAAGAACAGCTGTGTACATGTCTGAATGAGTTCACCCTCTGATCTAATGACTGGACTATCTACTCCTTTAACAGAGAGAAAGTGATCTTTACAATCATATTCTAGAGCTGTTGGAGTGTTCCCATCACTGACAAGAACAAAGAATTAGAAGGCCTGGAGCAGAAACCAAGTTCAAACCACATCATGAATTCATCAAGCCGCGAGTCTGGTGAAACACTTGATTCTGAGTCTATATGTGAATTCACAGCAGCTAGTGAAGGAACCTCAAGCCCTTAGTCTCAAATGCCTACTTCTAATGTAAGTGGCATGATTACAATGAGTGTAGCAGATTTGTTGGCCTTTTGTCAACAAATAACATGTCAGAACACTTCAAATATCAATAATGATACACCTGTGGATGATTTCAAATCTCACATTCATGAATATCTGTAAAGGGTTAAGCTCTAAGAACTAGAGGCTAGTCCTCCTATATAACAAGGATGAATTGCTTGAGAAAGGGAAGAAAAGAATGAGATGAGAACTTGAGCTTAAGCAAGCTCACATAGCATGATCACATGTACATATGCAAATGATGACTAGGCTGAGTCAGCCAGTCAGAGCAAATCTAGAAGTTCAATCTCTTATAATACTCTCCTTCTCCCTCTTTGTTGCAGGCCTTTACAACTATTTAAAGCTCTCTTTACATCTAATTTTGCCTGCTGAGAGGCCTCCCAAGTGTTCAAGACCTTCACTTCTTGTAGAAGAATTGCATCATTTCATGTAGACTCAGTCCAATCTATTCATTTAACAAGGTATTGCTTTTTTCTCTGATAGATTCATTCACTCTGAATTTTCTCAATCTCAAACTCAGGTCCTTTCAGAATCTCTATAGTGAGTGACTGTCAGTCAGTTTGTCTCTGATTAGACAGAGAATTCATTACTGCAGCATGTAGAAGCTTTACATTAAAGACATTGTGAATGTCAGATGAAATGTTCAATTGATAAGCATGAGATTCTATCTTTTCTAGCATAATATATTGATTGTATTTCATGTTCAGCTTTTTGCACAGATGATTAGTTCTCATGTTCTTTAAACTCAATCAGATCTTATCTTCAGATTGAAAGCTTGAAGCTGAGTCTCTTCATCTATTCATATATTTCTCTTAAGATTGCTGAGCATCTGTCATTTTTACTTGAGCTCACTTCAACACTTCACAGGCCTTTCTCATATAATCATCTGCAAACTCAATGAGATTATGTGATATTTCAATGAGAGGTGCATCAGCTATATCAATGGAGGAGACATGGAAAAGATGTGTTAAAAAGAATGAGCTTATGTCTGTTGAGACAGCATCTCTATTATTGATGATCAGCTCTGCTAGAGAGAGTCATTCATGCCAATCATTCTGTTGAAAGCTAATGTACTTGTGTAGATAGATTTTCAGAATCTGATTCATTCACTCTGTAGCTCTGTCAGTCTCTGAGTGATAGACTGTGAAGAGTCATCTCTTAATGTCTAATTTTTCACACACCTGAGTTTAAAATATACTTGTGAAAGCTGACCTTCAATCTGACACTATCACCTTAGAAATGCCATGTTGAGGAATGATGTTGTGAAGGAACACTTTAGTCACTATCTTCACATCAGTTTTCTTAACTGCTTTTAATATAATTCTCTTAATCAGTCTGTTCATTATAATCATGATGTTTGTGTACTCTTTAGAGCTTGATAAGTTCACAATAAAGTCCATGAAAAGCTCCTGCCATATGTGTTCAGGAATGGAGAGAGGCTTAAGTAGTCTCTGATGTTAATTTCTCTATGCAGTGTTTGATCTGTAAAGATGACAGTTTCTGATCATTCTTCTCACATCAGCAGCATAGCCTGACCAGTAGAACTCATGTCTTAGAACTCCTGCCATTTGCTCTCACCTGAAATAGCTGGTAAGAGGTGAGTCATGAGCCTCATGCACTAACCTGGTTTGAAGAGGTTTGAAGTCTGACACTCACTTATGATCTCAAAAGAGAAGCTTCTCATTCTCATTTAAAGAGCACTCAGAGATGGAGGTCTTAATGCTGAGTTCAGAAGGAAATCTAAATCTTCTCTCATGAAGAATTTGCTTCAGACACTGCAGGATCTTATCATTTTTGCAGGTCTCATTCCACTGAGCTTGAAGAGACATCTCAGGTTTCACACTGACAGCAGTCACTATTGATTCCATTCCAGATGCCAGTATATTAAACTTAAGTAGTTGAGCTTGCCTCTGCTTGATTCTCTCATTATCAGCACCCTGTGACATGTTCTGCTCTCTTCATGATAGAGTGTCTGGTTCAGCATTCAACTTCCCTGGCTGGTAATCAATTCTGAAGTTGAATTGATAGAGAATATTCATTCAACATAGCTGTCTTTCATTTAGTCTATGTGTAGTCATGAAGTATTCTAGATTCTTATGATCTGTGAGGATCTTGAATTCCTTTACACTTCATAGTTCAGCATTTCATTTCTTTAAACACTCAATTATTGCTAATAACTTCTTATCATGAATCTTATAGTTGCATTCTGCAGGTGAATGCTTATGAGAGAAGAAGGCACATGATTGTAGAATGCTCTGCTCATCATATTGTAGCAGCACTCCTCCTGAGATGTAATCTGAGAAGTCTGTTTTCAATATAGTCTCACAGTCAGAGTCAAATTGAAGCAGGATTGAAGCAGAGATAAACATTGATTTTAGACACTTAAAAGCTTTCTCAGCCTTGCTCATCCACAAAAAAGAAACATTCTTGCATGTAAGAATTGTCAGTGAGATCACAATCTTTGAGAAATCCCTGATAAATTATCTATAGAAATTGGCAAAGCCTAAAAATCCTTGTACACCTTTAAGAGTAGTAGGTGTCACCTATTCCAAAACAGCTTTAACCTTCTCTAAATCTATTTGTATACCCTTGCCTGCTTCAATGATGAATTCAAGATATTTTGTGCTGTTCATCTCAAACTCACTCTTTCTGATGTCTGCCTGCAGATCTGCTTCCCATAGACACATAAGCATCTTTTGTACATGCTCATGATGCTCTTGTAAGCTTCTTGAGGAAAA